GGATATGTTAAACAAATGTTGTCTTTCCTAAAGTTTTGATTTCGATCGAGGTTTTGCAAGACATAAATTTCCTTTGTTCAGGATTTGTAGACGCCATGTTATTTCTAAAAATTGAATTAATGCAAGAAGTATGCATTTTAAAAAAAGTCCAATTTAACATAATGATTTTCCTTATATAGTATAAAGGGTATAGATTCGAAGATAATATTCTATTATAGAATTGCCTACATTAGTTGCTTTCTTTGTCTTTTAATAAAATAGTCATGTTTTTATCATGTACTCTAAAACCAGAGACATATATACTAAAATATAAACAAGTCAAAATTGAAAACAACGTTCAAACCTATGATTGCGTTGGATAAAAACCGCAATGTTTATACGTGTGCATGCAAAACAAATTTCTTGGTAGAGGGCCTAAATACATCACAAACAACATTTTCCAAAACACCAAATGAGTGAAAAAGTATATTTTAACAAAACGCATTTGACTAGCAGGTCGAACAACTGATGTTTTTAAACCCTGCTGACGGCCATTGACGATTGCCAAATAAACGGATCACAAGATGTAACAAAATATATCTTATTATTAATTTATTACCAAACAGAACACAATAAACTTGCGGAAAAGATGGTATACCGCAAACATGAGGTGCAAAAATTTGTACACAATATCCGGATTTCGACAATTAATGTCTCTTCAGTGATATTAGGAATCGAAACGGTATATCCGGGTTTCGACAATTAATGTCTCTTCAGGTAGCAATACACAGTTAGAAGTTTAGTTTCGCATTTTGGCCATGGTGAATTTTTTAAATATGATAGTTTTTGTACAATAAAATTGATTTATCAAGTCAGGAAAATGGCCATAGTTATATTATAGTTCATTTCTGTGTGTGTTACATTTTGATGTTGTGTTTCTGTTGTGTCGTAGTTCTCCTCTTATATTTGATGTGTTTCCCTCAGTTTTAGTTTGTAACCCGGATTTGTTTTTTTCTCAATAGATTTATGAATTTTGAACAGCGGTATACTACTGTTGCCTTTATTTATATAGTTGAAGAATAATATAGCCTTCCAAGTGGGTTTATATGAACATCAAGATTGTTTTAGCATGTTTCATAGGCCATTTTTCTATCTGACAGTCCGAATTTTCACATCCGTACCGCCCATAGGTCCAGAAATTATTGTAGTGTTTTTCAAAAAAGATTTGACCCTCGATCTTTATACTAAATGATATATGTCTCTGTTTAAAACTAATCATGTAACCCTGATAAACAAAATGTATAGTTTAAAGTTTCAAATGTCTTTGTCTTTAGATTAATTGCATTTTTGTACGTATTCATGTCAATTGTATTTTCTTTTAAATAGAATCAATCGGCCCAGTGGTTTACCATTCATATCAAGTGTCCCAGATATTGGACATTTTACCTCCCTGTATGACATTCGTTCTTTTTACACACCACAACTATTAAGGTAAGAACTAAAATAACTTATAACAGAAGTTTGTTCGCAAACTTTTTTCTGTTCAAACAGAAAGTAAATCCTCATTTCCGGAATATTCGTAAAACACTGAAATATTGCGTTTTCCTAAAAATAAGCATAAATACTTTAGTTGTTTATTGAACAAAATGTAAAATTTGTGCCAGTTTATTTTTTTAGCTCACCTGGCCCAAAAGGGCCAAGTGAGCTTTTCTCATCACTTAACGTCCGTCGTTCGTCGTCGTCGTCCGTTAACTTTTACAAAAATCTTCTCCTCTGAAACTACTGGGCCAAATAAAACCAAACGTGGCTTAAATCATCCTTAGGGTAATTTGTTTAAAAAAAACCAAGATGGCCGCCATGGCTAAAATAGAAAATGGGGATAAAATACAGTTTTGGCATATATCTCTGAAACTAAAGCATTTAGAGCAAATCTGAAAAAAATGTTTATCAGGTCAAGATCTATCTGCGCTGAAATTTTCAAACGCATCAAACAACCCGTTGTTGGGTTGCTGCCCCTGAATTGGTAATTTTAAGGAAATTGTGCAGTTTTTGGTTATTATCTTGAATATTATTATTGATAGAGATAAACTGTAAACAGCAGAATTATTCAGCAAAGTAAGATCTACAAATAAGTCAAATGACCAAAATAGTTAATTAACCCCTTAAAGAGTTATTGCCCTTAATAGTCAATTTTTACTAAATTTTGTTAATTTTTGTAATTATTTACAAAAATCTTCTCCTCTGAAACTACTAAGGCAAATTTAACAAAACTTAGCCACAATCATCATTTGGGTATCTAGTTTTAAGAATGTGTCTGATGACCCCGACTTCCAATCAACATGGCCATCATGGATAATAATAGAACATAGGGGTAAAATGCAAGTTTTGTCAATTATTTTTTGAACCGTTATAAATAGAGAAAATCTGAAAGGAGCAAAAACGTTCAGATTAATGAGCTTTACCAATTGTCCATACACGTCAAAACTGTTAGACAAATTCTTTTAGGAGTTATTGCCCATAAATGACAAATTTTACCATTTTTTCATTTTTGCCTATTATCATGAAAACTATATTTAGAGAGAAACATTTTTATCCCGTTATTCCTTATATGATTTAAATTATAATACATGTAGATAAATAAACTCTTCAAATCACAAAACTGATCAGCAAGTCAAGATCTATTCAAATGTCAAATTTTGCCGATATAGTTAGCATGGTTAGTAGACTGTCACTCTTCATAGAAGTGATTGCCCTTAAATGAGGATTTTTTTACCCTCTTTTGTGTTTTGAGCAAAAACTAAAAACAAATAGAGAGAAACAAAACAGACTAAAAGATCAGTAATAGAAGACCAACAAAATAGAGATTTTTGTCATAAAGTCTATTCTCATCTACAATGTTGGATATGCAAATAGACCAAGGTGAGCGACACAGGCTCTTTAGGGCCTCTAGTATTAAATTTGTAACTATAGTTCGATGTATGAGGGTCTGGATGGGGGTTTACAGAATAGAAAATAACGGATAATAAAAGTAATGAAAAAAGAAAATTGTCGTGCTGAAAAATATAGAATAGAGAACAATTAATAATTTGCCAAACAAATTACGAATAATGAAAAAAATGCCTAAAATTGGAGAATACAGTAACGAATGAAAGACAATATCCCTCTCCATGCCGCCATGCATATGTAAAGGATGTGAATTTGGTGGTCTTCCTTTATAGTTTCAAACTAGTATTTACTTAATTAAATAATTATTTAATGTTTAAAGTGTATTAGCTGCAAGATATGAAAAAATTATGACATGATTTGGTTTGGTTCAATCATTAATAAAAGTGAAATAATGAAATAATACTTTGCTTTTACCGGCAAATTTGGTTCAAATTTGTTAAAATAAGCAAAGAAATATCGCTGGTGAATTATTCACCTGCAAGTGAATAATTCGAAGTCATTGAATTCTTATTCATGTGACCTTCAATTTAACCTATTAGCTAGAGATTGGTTATGCATGTAATAGTCATGGTCAGCCATTAAAAGGAAAAGAATGTCAACATTGAAAGTGAAACAAAGGTGTAGCATTTCTTGGAATGATTCGATCCACAAAAAAATCATTCTTATACAGGTAAAACAATGATTAACTTATTTGTTTAACCAATAACATGAAATCAAACAGATCTAGAAAAGTCCAATTGCACTCAGTCGCTATCGATTTATATTTATGTTTATGTTTATATCAGGTTATGCAACCGTTAGCAGTCTTCTGATGTCATCTCGATCATTAGACTAAAATACACACGAAATGTTGATATATATTATCGAGTACATGCATTGTTAACTGTTGATTTCAGACTTATTGTAATTTGGATATACGTTTTAGTATGTTATAAATCAAATATGAGGATTTGAGTGAAATCGGTGAAAATGACTTTGACAGCTAATGCCACTTTAATTTGATCTAAAAGTAGCGTTGTTAAATTCTTCATAAAAGTATTCAAATTTCATGTTACCTTATACTAGTTAAAATAAGGAGATATGGTATGAATGGAAATGAGACATCTATCCAACAAAGTTCAAAGGAAAAATAGGCAACCGTACGGCCTTCAACAATGAGAAAAACCCTAACCGTATAGTCGGCTATAAAAGGCATTATTTTGATACGATAAATTCTAAAACACACGAAGTATATAAAAATAATAACGTTTTCTTTTTAAACTTAGTTTTTTAAATACTATATTGTTTTATTTTATTTTGACTTCAAAGACTTTTCCTTTTGATTTCATTTGCGAACTATTACTATTTAGTTACATTTTTTTTTAACTTAATTTTTTAATAATTTTTATTTTGTCATTTCATCTGACTATGTTTTACTTGATTGTTGTCCATTTGTAAACAAATTGATAAGATCTATTTTGTTTATGTCTCTGTTCAGCCAAAAATCTGAAATCTGGTATCCCGATGGTCTAATAGGAATGAGGTACTGGCCACTACACGACGCGGGAGGTGTCGACACATATTCTGTCTAAAGTTTTAACACCGAAACAGATAATTAATTACAAATTTCAAATAAATGCAATTCTAATTTCAATAAAACAACTTTACGGGTGAAACATTTTGCTAATACTTTTATACTACAAAGATAGTAAATAGAACATTATATTTCCAATAACACAAGTTTTTAGATTTCCATGAGTCAGGTAACACTGCTGATGATGATTTTTGCTAATTGCTATTATTTTCCTTTTGTGTTTTCTATGATTAGTTTGGTGTTTGGACTTATTAAACCTTACATTTCTATTTTTTTTTGTTCTAGTGCATAGTAAACAAAATAGATTTTATGGTGTGTGGTTCTGTTTTGTGAATAACATTTGCTGTATAAATAAGATGAATTAAAGATGTCTTATTTTCTATTAACGTTATATCTCATCTATCATGTCTTGTGAGATTCTGACTGCATATCAAGTGTAAAGTGAATGGGTACAAACTGTTATGTCATTAGAAAATATGTCAGTATTTCCTATGTTTTCAGAAATGATTATATAAAATGGCATCGCCAAGTAAGGACTTCTGTACTCTTTGTAAAGAGGATAACGTCACAAGTGATGCAGTCACGTGGTGTACAGAATGTGAGGTCTTCCTTTGTGTAGAATGTGAGAAGCATCATAATAGGTCAAGAACATCCAAAGACCATAAAACCATATCGGCTGAGAATTATCATGAATTGCCTTCATTTATAAAAGGGACGAGCAATCTGTGTAAAGTCCATGACAGAAAGTTCGAACTATACTGTTCTTTCCATGCGTGTGCTTGCTGCGTACATTGCACCACAGATAACCATCAAACATGTCAGACCATGAAGCCATTGTCCGACATTCTTAATCAAGTCAAATCATCAGCTGCGGTTCCTCTCCTTGAAAAAGATCTGAAAGATCTAAAAGAAAATTTTGATGAGATAGTAGAATACCTGAGAAACAGAGTTAGTACAAATGCAAAGCAGAAATCTGAGGCAATTCAGAACATCCGATCCATGCGTAAATCCATCGATGATTACCTAAACCAACTAGAACAGCAACTTCTTAAAGATCTAGAAATTGAACATTCAAAATTGAGATCTGAAATAGAGACACTCTTGCTCGAAGTAGATAAACGAGCAAAACAGATCAGGGAATTGCAAAACGAATTTTTGAATATGACTAAATATGCAACTGAACTTCAAACTTATGTAGGTCTGAACGAAATTGAAAAAATCACATCACAAGAGGAAAACTACATTGAAGATTTAAAGCGTGGTTCAGATTTAAACGAACGTAACTTGCATGTGGTAACTTCGACTGCTCTTGCTTCCATTCTACATGATGTCAAATTATTTGGAGAAATAACAGTTGACACCCGTCCTTGTAACGTTCATGCAAATGCGGGAAGAAAAGATCAAGCTCAGTATTTAGTTCCTGTTCCAACAATAGAACAAATAAATCCTTCGTTCTCAAACACTGTTAAAGTGCCTAAAGGAAGAACATTACGTATTGTTGATTGTTGCATACTACCTGATTGCAATTGTTTAACTCTTGATGCAGTTCGCAAATGTTTGCTGATGTTTAGAAATGATGGGACATTCATCAGATCTATTTTGTCATTTAAAGAGGAACCTGACAGAGTATGCTTTGTTAAAGATGATACAGTGGCCGTTTCCTTTTATACTGCATGTGAAGTGGCCCTTGTTGATATAGGCAAAAGTAAGGTTGACAGAAGTTTTAAGTTTCCTGAAGTACGATGTTCTGGAGTTTCAAGTGATGGTCAAGTACTGGTCATAATAATGCCTACTGTTAAAAATGTCATTGTCATGAACCTTCTAGACGAATCAAAACAAACCTTGGAAAGAATTCATGTACGTCGTATTTCATTGGTCAAGGGAAATATCTACGGCACAAACTTTTTGAATAACACAATAAGCTGCTACAAACTGAGTGGAGAAATGCTTTGGACATTTAAACACCAGGACATTGATGAACCAGCAGGAGTTGCATTAGATAAAAACGGGTTTATTTATGTTGCTTGCAGGAGAAGTAATAAAATAGTCGTAGTTTCACCTGATGGCAAATCATGCAGGGCAATATTGAATCACGATAATGGAATTAAAGCTCCTCGATCAATAGCTATTGATATGAAATATGGAATAATGTTAGTTGGAAGTAACAACGAGGGTGAGGATTCGTTACTATTTCAACTCTGAATAACAGAATTAATTATTCTGTAAATGAGACAACATGTTTATGTTAGTTTCAAGTATGAATACATTATTCATAGAAATTCATATTTTTTAAAGCTTTATTAACTGGTGTGCTTTTTATTTAACAGACAAAAACTTCACTGTATGAACTTCAACATGTACACTAGTAAACCAATTTTGATCTGAACTGCTCTTGAAACACTGAACATAATACATCGTGTTATTTAAAGTATTTTAGTCAATCTCAGACTTATTAACTGCACTAAATTCAGTAATGTTCAGACAATTCGCCTGCAGTCAATCAAGATCTGCAAAGTCTTTGTTCAGTAGTTTGTATTTACCTGAACACAGCAAAAAAATACTGAATTGTCTAAAAAGCTACTAAACAGTACTGAATTGGCTGCAAGGAATTGTATGAACAGTGCTGCATTTACTGCAGTTGATCAGACTGAAAATTTGTTAATACAGTCTGATAAAAGAGGGATGAAAGATACCAGAGGGACAGTCAAACTCATAGATCGAAAAAAAAAAACTGACAACGCCATGGCCAAAAATAAAAAGACAAACAGACAAATAATAATACAGATGACACAACAAAGAACACCAAAGACTAAGCAACACGAACCCCACCAAAAACGGGGGGTGATCTCATGTGCTCCGGAAGGGTAAGCAGATCCTGCTTCATATGTGGCCCCATCGTGTTGCTTATGTTATTACAAATACGGTAAATAGTCTAATTCGGTAAGTCACATTCGTGAAAAGGGAGTGTATTGTAGTTACGACATAAGGAACATATCCGATATCATCTGTGAAACGGTTATTCCATAACGGTCAACCAACTCGTGATGGCGTCCGTAAAATTTACGAAGGGATGATTTCAACTTCACCATTTGGAACTCTTGGTTTAATAGCTTCCTTGTGAGCAGCAATCCTCTATCAAGGAAATCATGATATGAAACACAAGCCCGGGAATATCGTATCAATTGGGAGATATATACTCCGTATGCAGGCGCTGCTGGAATGTTGCTACATAGAAATGGAAAGTTCACAATTGGGAAGCTGAAATCATCTCTTTTGTCGTAAAGTTTTGTTTTCAACAAACCCTCATTGTCAATTTCTAGATGTAAGTCAAGATATGAGGCAGACTTAACTGTATCTGTATTATCCTTTATCTCTAGTTCGATGGGATAGATTCGTTCAACATAGTCACCAAATTTTGTATTTGTACGGAACGAAGAGTTAAAGGATATTGCTAACTTCTTATCTTTCTTCCTAAGAAGTTCCTGTATGAAGTCAGCCTCATAATAATAAAGAAACAAGTCGGCAAGAAGAGGGGCACAATTGGTTTCCATTGGAATTCCGACAGTCTGTTGAAAAACACGTCCTCCAAACGTAACAAATGTGTTGTCAATCAAGAAATCAAGCATCTTGATAATGTCAGTTTCAGAGAATTTTTTGTTTGAATCAGAGTGATTCTTTACAAAGTAGGATTTATTCCTCCCCAAGACAAGATACTTGTATTTACGTTCGCCATTCCTTTTAATGAAACAAAGTAATACCAACTCTTTCAATTTGTCTTTTAGTTTTGAATGGGGAATACTTGTGTAAAGTGTAGAAAAGTCAAATGTTTTAATACTATTGCAAGATGAGAGAGTCTTAGATTGTATGTACTCGAAAAGATCTTTGGAATTTTTTAGTATCCACATCTGATTCACGCCACCTCTAGAATAGGCAGTTTCACAATAACTTTGGAGCCCGGCTTTGATTGCTGATGAAATAGATGTTAATAATTTAGAAAAAGGTTTCGTGGAGCACTTGGAAGACCCAGCAATATACCGTTGTTTGTAAGGACACGTATGTAGTTTAGGTATCCAATACAGTGATGGAAGATCCAGTTCTTCATCTTTGGTTGAAATTCCAAAGGAACATAGAACAGACCTATGATTATCCAGGATTTCCTCTTTGGTAAGTGTGGTGAGGGTATATGTTGAGTTTCCAAGTGAATTGTCAATACCTAATTCATTTATCAAGCAGTCTATATTATGATATTTACACACAAAAACGATGTTGTTTGGGGCTTTATCTGCGGGGACAACAACATATTTGTCATGGAGGTAGGACAAGTGTTTTGTCTTTAAAAATTGATAAGTAAGGTAGAACATAATTTCTATTTATAACTTTAAAATAGGCCGAGTGAAGAAACATTCAACCAAATTCCACTTAAAGATTTTAAATTTGAAATATGATATTTTTTTTGCATTGACGCCAACAGAAAGGAATGCCTCAAGTAAATGAATTGAACCAAGGCAGACAACCTCAATAATTTCTATCAAAACAAATTCATTTATGATCAGATGTGTGTTCCAGCTATAAAGATGGCATATGTATTTATAAAACAGTAAACAAATGACAAGATTTAATTTATCTTCATATAAACAGATAAACTCAAAATTCAAACAAACACAGACAAAATCATTTCTCAAATTAACAAAATATGTTTCTAGTTTAAACAGAAGCTTAAATGTACAATTAGTTATCAGATCAATGTTAAACCATCTACTGAAATATTCAGAGCACATGTAACTACATAAAAGACTTTAATTGTGCTATCATGTTTGTGAAAATTTTAAAAGTCATACTGATCTGTTAAAATATCTGTTTTAAGTGAATTAAATCTGTTACAGTATAATGAAATTTTAAGATTACAAAAACTATTGCCTCTTCATGTTTGAACTACCTTCAAAAGTTTAAATCTACCAACAACTTATAGATATAGTATTATTTTGTATGTTCCCAGGGAAAGACCATTTCCTTATGGAAAAACAATTGTTTAAATATGCTGCAGTAACATTGTGGAAAAGTCTTCCGGGCCTTTCAGGATAACAAATAGTTTTCCTTCAATTTAAAATGTTGATTAAGTATTGGAATGGTACGAAATGTCGCTGTTCCACTGCATATGAATTCCAAGTGTTTGCTTTTACACTTCCATCTCTGCAACGCAAAATATTTTGATAGCCTGACTTTTTCGAAATATATTGTGAATCTGACTTTTTCCTAATTTCTTGTGAGCCTAATTTTTTTCAAAATTTGTTGTGAGTCTGAATTTTTGTTAATACTTTATGAGTCTGACTTTTTCAAAATGTTTTGTGAGCCTGACTTTTTTCGAAATATTTAGTGATTCCTTAGAATTTTTTCAAAGTCAGCATGAGAAATTTAGCCCACCAACTGAAATATTCACCAATATCTTTTTAACTACCAATTACACTTTTAGTAAAACATTTTGATATTTTCTATCGCTAATTTATTTTTAAAACAGTTAAACATAATTTTCTTCAAATATATTTCATTTGAAAAGTCCTGAGAACTTTTTCTACCAAAAACTCTAATTTTTAAACTGCTATTATCTTAAAAACAGGCAAATCTATTCATATTTTTTTGTTCATAATCGTGATGTATTGTCTACTGAAAAAGAGGTACAATTGTGAAAGTTGTGTTTTTTTTTTTTTATTTAAAAAACAACATCCGCATTATTCTTCATAAGGCAGTGGCTTTATCATTCGGGATCCCAATATGTAGCTGCTACTATCTTCTTCTTCGAAATATCTAATCTGAAATAATCAATATTTTAAGCATATTTTTTCGTGGTGTTTGCTTGATTTTGTAGATTGTTTTGAGTTATTCACCATTGTAAATACATTATTTGATAATAAAACTTTTGTTCTGAAGATTTAGATTTTGTTTGAATTATTAACAATACCACAGACACACGTCACAACTAACTAACAAATTGAAACAAGCATACAAATTTAAATAACAAAGACCCCAACAAAGAAGGCGTAGAGGTTAGTAAATATGACAATGATGTCAGCAAAAATAGTCAAATGTTAACAACATGACCTCTAAATTCCACACATTTATATTACATGATTTATAGCCTACCTTTCTTAATATCCATGTTGATGAATTTACAAAAAAAAAAAAAAAATGAGGTTCCAACTTCCTCACGCAAAGTAGATTATAGGTGAAATTTGGTATCCTTTGATGCCATTTATAAAGCTCCTTTAATGGTAGAGAATAAAGCATCCTTAGCTTTCAATGTTTTAAGCTTGAGGTTTTCTGGTAAAGTAAAATCCAGGAAAGTGCTTCAGAAGCACCAAACTTATAGTGTGATTTTCAAATAAACATGAGAAATAGTTTTGATCACTTGTTTTCTCCCTATATTGAGGACTTAATTGTAATCTTTTCTACACAGTTTCAACGTATAATTATCTGTAACTTATATAAACCTAAGGGAAATTTTCATCATATTTTCATGTTCAGAAAATGTTTAATTGATTCTTCAGTATTTGCTGACAATTAACATCCTACTTTTAGATCAAAGACAAACACACCAAATTCACTATGTTATTTAACGCTGCAGACCGGAATCGATTTTCAAGAAAATGTCACTATAAAATATCAAATTTTGACACAAATGTAATAATGTAGGTGTACAATGGACTATAAATGTATCCATCCTTTTTTTAACCCTGAAAGTAGGAGATACCACCAACCCTTTCTGAGTAATTGACATTTTATTCAATTGAGGTCAATGTCACCTTGATATTTTCACCTTCTTTTTTAAATTTTCTTGTTACCTCATTAACAATTACTATCTTGAATCGATTATGTACGTGCAAAAATTCGTTGCTATAAAGTTTTTACTTTTGGTTCATTTGTATGTTTCGGAGTTAACTGTGGAGTCCGTTTAGCTGAACTATATAGTATACATTATTGTTTAGGGGCCACCTGAAGCTCACCTCCGGGTGTTGGGTTATATCGTTCCGTTGAAGACCCATTGGTAGTCTTTTTTTGTTTTCTTCTTTTTGGTCTTGTTGTTGTCTTATTCAAACATTTCCCGTTTTCATTCTCTATTCTAATAATGCCTGACTTGTTTTCTACGTCTATATCGTTTTACTGTACAACATGTCAATTTTTTGTCAGTAACAATGGTGTCCTGAAAAAACAG